AAAAATTATTTTAAAATATATTCTTTAAAATTATTTAGAAAAATTGCATCATATTCAGCTGCTCATATATGTATTTTTCCCCTCTTAAGTCCTTATCTCTGTTTTTGATTAGGCGGCCTGTGATTGAGTTATGGTGGTTCAAAGACAGGGGCTTTTTTCAATAGTAGGTACTCGCGGTAAGCAAAATCGAATTTTTATTTAAATTTCTGAATATTCAAGAAAAAAAACGGCTCCATTGTATAATCAATGAAAGTTTTAGGTTTTGAGAATAGAAATAAAAATAATAATAAAAAAATAATAATAATAATAACAAAAATAATAATAATAAAAGTAATAAAAATAATAAATAATAATAACCATAAAAATAATAAAAAATAACAAAATAATAATAATAAAAATAATAAAAATAATAAATAATAATAACAATAAAAATAATAAAAAATTACAAAAATAATAATAATAAAAATAATAAATAATAATAATAATAATAATAATAATAAAAAATAATGTATTATATTTTTTCTATAACTTTTAGTTACAAGAAACTTAAATCTTCTCTCTCTCTCACCCCTATAAAATTAGAAGTGATAACATAAATATTCAAGTAAAATTTGTTGACAACTCTCCTACATTTGATCTCTTGTTTGATAAAAACGAGGGAAAGACAAAAGATTAATTGCTTCTGCTCCGTATTGACATTTCACTAAAATTTTAGCAACTTGGTCAAGCGGAACTTCCTGACTAAGAGTGAGTCATAGATTTACCCTCTAGTCTCATCGTCAGTGAAGAATAAATCTCTATTCTTCTTCCTTCCTATCTTTTTTTCTCTTCCCCTATTCTCTCCCTCCCACAATACATTCTTTTTTTGCTGCAAAATAATTATACGACTGAAAGAAACTAGCAGCAGAAATTGATATTAACATTTAACACTAGTTCTATTTATTATTAATATAATTATTATTAAATAAATAAATTATTTCTTTAATAAATAATTATTATTTTTGTTATTATAATAATAATAAAATTATTATTATTATTATTATTATTATTATTATTATTATTATTATTATTATTATTATTATTATTATTATTATTATTTTAGTTATTATAATTATTATTATTTTTATTATTGTTATTATAAGTTTTATTATTTTTATTATTATTATTATTCCTTCTCTTAAAAATTATTTTTAACTTTTATCTCCAGTTAAAAAATAAAAAAAAATTAATTTCAATATTAGACATTTTTTTTTAAATATAACGAATAAATAGTGAATGTTTTAAATATTTATAATTTTTTTTACATCTATTAATTTGTCCACTTTAGATTTATAACTTTTTGATTATTTTATTAGAGCGACTAATTAATACCCTTTTTATCGAGTTTTATTCTCTTTCAATCAATTCGTTAACTTTAGATTCTTTAATTTTTTATCATTTTATATATAACTTTTATAGGAAATTTCCTTTAATAAATATATTATTTTTTGTATTTAATAAATTCAATTATAAATATATTTTTCAATTATTCGTATATCTAATCGTTTGATATAAAAAATTTTAAATGTCTTAAAATATTTAAAGTTAAGTTTTATTTTAAGTTTTTAAGGGCATTTGAACCTTGATGACGTTACAGATTGTGCAAAGCATGTGTGACGTCATCAAGGTTCAAATGCCCTTAAACGAGATTTTTTATTTAAATTCACAAATGCTTTAAAATAAAATTAAAAGAAAAAAAAATCACAAATGTTAATATAATTAATACAGAAAACTTGAATAAAAATTCTCAATAATTTTTGTGCGGTAGAGCTTTTTTTAAATTCTATAACATCTAATGATTAGATACTGGATATTTTATTTGAAAATTTGAAAAATATTTAAATTATTATATTTGATATAAGATTTAAAAAAATAAAACACCCAATATTTCTAAAAAAATTAATCCGTGAACATCAAATTTCCTGCTATTTTTAAAGAAGAAATATTTTTTCTTGTTTTAATAGCATTTTTTTTTATTTTATTATTTTTTTTTTATTAAATTTTGTTGAAAAAAAAATGAATTTCATTCAAAAAATATTTGCAAAAGTCAGAAAAATGTTATTTCTAATTTTACGTTTTGCCAAAATCTTTTCCATGTCTTTCTTACTTTTGAAAGAGACTGTCACTCGAGACAACTTCCTTAATACTCGTGCGCAGTAGTTTTCTATGGCATCTATGGCTTCACAATAGATTTTAATGATTACAGACCCTAAAAGGTCTGGAAATATATTTTGATGAACAATTTTTAGTGCAATATTTTTTCTTAATATGGACTTTAGACGAAAATATTCTATTAACGTTCATTTTTTATTATACCGAAAAAATCATTTATTTCCCAAAATACATGAGTTTTTTTTCTTTAAAAAATACAGTAAAAAATATTCAAAAATTCAAGGCTTTTAAATTATAAAGGTATAGGATTAATTTTTAAAACAGAAAAATTAAAAATTCTTGAAATTGTAAAATTTTGTATAAAAAAATATAAAAAAATAAAAAAAAAATTTTTTTTATTTAAAAAAAATTTTTTTAAATAAAATAAAAAAAAATACACACATATTATAATATAAAAAATTGATGAAATTTATAAAAGAGGAAATTTAATATAAATTTTTAAAGTGCAGAAAATGAAAAATTATAAGTTTAATAATATGGGGATTATAGGATAATTCGTCGTCATGGCGGTTATTTATAGCAGATTAAAATAAGTTAAAGGATATATAAAACAGATATTTGACTGGGGAAAATTTACCTTTATACTTTTCCATTGTTAAAACTGTTTTCGAAAAAAATTTAATTTTAATTTTTTCTGTTGATTAAAAAAACTTTGATTTTGAAAACAGGTTTGAAAAATGTTAAATAAGTTACGTTATACCGAAAAACTGATAACAATTATTTAACAATTATTAAAATTTTGTTGAAATTGATATTATTGAGTATTTTCGTTATTTAATATATTTATTTTTCAGGAAGATTTAAAAAAAATTTTTCTAAATCAAAAGTATAAGTTTTGAATCATAATTTTTTAAATTCAAGCAATTTTGAGTAAAGAAATTTATATATTTTTGGAAAAATGTTATGCCTTAAATTATTTGTTAAATTTATATTTGGTTCACATTTTATTTTATTTATTTATTTATTTATTTGAGTAGTAAATTTTGCAAATTTTATTCTAGAATAACTCAAAGAGGATAATGACTAAAATGTAGGGCATTGATCCGAATAATTGATGATTTTGGCTGTTACAAATTAAATTGTCCCTCAGGGTGCAGATTAGATTAAACGGTACCTCGAGGGATAGTTTAATGTCGCGTATATATTTAAACAGATTTTATCATTTCAGATAATTTTCCGATTGATTTTAGAGAAAATCGTATATCGTCATTTCGTGGTTTATAACAACTTCCTGCTAAGAAGATATTACAAAAAAATATCCAAAGTAGAAGAAAAAACAAAAAAATTAACCATTTTTGTAAAATTTACATTTTTTAAAAATTAAAAAAAATTTTGAAAAAATTAAAAAATTTTTTTTAAGATTTACAAACTTTTTTCTTCTTTAGACAGTCGAAATGTAAATATTTTGGTTTGGAAAGTTTGTATAAGATTATTCAGGATCTAGTTCCTGCGTTTTGCTTTCATAAAAGGTTATTCTCACATTAAAGACTCATAATTCATGTTGGTTGTGACTGGCTGCCCACACAATACACAAGAATTAATTATCTCAACATTTCCAGACGTTTGTACTGACATTTTTAGAATATAATTTATACTATATATAAGCAAATTTTTTAAATTTTAACCCAGGTGAATATTGTACCCTGAGGAGCAAAATATTTACATGTGAAAAAAGAATTTCAACGCACTTAACTCTTGCGCCTTAAGTATTCAAAAGTGTAAAATTGAAATTATACACAATTGTGATTCAATTTGCACAATTTTTTTTATTTTTTTAAAAATTATATTTTATGAGAAAAAAAAATTAAAGTAAAGATTTATCTATAAACTGTTTATTTTGGAGTAATTGGAACAATTTGAAACTTTTGGAGAAAAGAAAAAAAGAATTGTTAAATTTAGGTTCAATTTCAGGAAACAAAATTCTGAAGAAAGCAGCAAAAAAAAATTTTTACTTTTTTCTATTGTCTAAAAAGTCTAAAATGTTTATTTTGTAGAAATTTTGATAAAATCATTGAAAACTTATGAAGAAAATAGAAAATCCAAAAAATTGAAATATTTGAGATTTAGGTTCAATTTTAGGTGCAGAATCTAAATTCTAAAAAGCGCACCAAAAAAAATTTTTATCTATTCTATTAATGCTTAAAAGTGTTAATTTTGAAAAGATTAGTTTTTAAATTTAATTTTAATTCTTAGAAAATAATTTTTTATAAAATTTTAAAACTTAAAGAAAAAAATTAATATTTGAGATTTAGGGTTCATTTTTAGGTTCAGAAACTAAATTCTGAAGACTGAAGAAAAATAAGAAATCTTTTCCAATTCTCTTTAACAGTAAACACACTTACCGACTAAGCTTTCAAGAAACATTTCTAAATAAGTTGAAGTAGAAAATATTTAGTCATTTTTCGTCAACTTAATAAAAATGCAGAAAATCACAGATTAAATGAAACTAAAAATTATTGCTCCCTTGCGAATATAATATAAGATAAATTTTATTCTACACTTATTCAAATGATTCTTGTCGCAGGAAGGTAAGGGAATTTCATATTTGTCCGTTAGATGCTGCCATCTGACAATAATTTATTCCACTGATAGTTTGATTACAAATTTCTTATTTCGAATTTTATTCATCAGAATTATAATTTAAATTAAAAACAATACAGTATAATATATGTTGTAAATGTTAAATAATTAATTGTAAATTTAATTAATAATAATTTATAATAATTATAATAATAATATAATAATAATATAATAATAACATAATATGATAATAATTTATAGTAATAATAATAATTTATATATACTGTATTTAATCAAATTTCTTATCCCATTGAAATATATAATAGATTTCTTTCTTCTTAAATTAAAATTATTGACATTATTAATCCCATCGATTGGTGTCCCGATTGTAGATATACTGGAAAAAAATTATACTATTTTTAAAAAGTTGCAAAACTTAAAATAAACTTTTCTATTTTCAAGTAGAAGAATATTGAAAGATAGATACCTGCATAGGAGTTGAAGTTCTTTCATTTTCTGACTGTTTAGAATCTAAAAAAGTGATTTTTAAAGGTTAGTCATAAAGATAAAATTAATACACATATACAAATATATTGTTTTGATGAATAACATACTTTAGAATCTTTGTTTATATTTACTGTCATGTTTTGTAGCATTTTATCACCTAAGATCATTCTTAATAAATGTGATGACATTAATTTTGGTTTATCAACATAATGCCGTGTTATACGAGTTAAATTTTCGATATTTGCATCAATGTGCCATTTCTCCAATAGTACAGCCTATATTCAAGACAAATTAAAATCATTTATCAGTAAAATTACATGTACACTAGAAAAATATTTGTTTGTCTGATTTTCAAAAGTCTTGTGCCCATAAAGTCGAAAGATTAAGGATTTTAGCCAAAGTTAATTTTCCCTAATGAAATATTATATATTATTATTATTAAAATATTAAAGATAGAAACCTGCGTATAATTTAAAGTACGATCGTCTTCTGACTGTTCAGAACCTAGAAAATTGATTTTTAAATTTTAGTTATAAGTATTAAAACAATGTAAAAAATTAAATACTGTTACATTAATTGTTTTGATTAACTAAATTTCTCTTAGTGAAAATTTTAATTAATAGAAATAAAAACTCTTAAGATATTAAATTCGTTGTTTGTAAATACTTCGCATGCCACCAGGCAAGAATTCATCCAATATATCTGTAACAAAAATAATTATATATATGGGCATATTTCTAGAACTTTTAAACTTTTAGGTATTGGAAAACTTAATTTTTCTTTTTAAGGCACATTCTTGAAATTAATTTTATTGTTTTGTGCATTGATCAAATAGTAGAAAAAACCTTGCGATACTCATTTCTACATATTGTTAACCCCTCTGTGTATGAGTTTTAACCCCAAGAAAATGTTTCTAAATGCATAGATTTTTTATAAAGTTGGATTTTCACATCAATCGGTATCTTGGGGTTTCTAGGGTAGCTGATTACGAATATGATGTTAATTTTTCAAAATTCAAAATGGCGGATCCAATATGTCGGACAAAATTTTTAAAAAATTAATGGATTTCCACAGCATTGAATATTCATGGGTTTTTGGGGTCGCTGATTATGAGTCTGTAGTCGGATTTCGAAAACTCCAAATGGCGGATTCAATATGGCGGATGAAAATTGATACCGGTCACTGTAGAGGGGAGTAACTGGATCAAAGGCCAGTTTAATTCTTTAAATAAAATTCGCATTCAGAAAGATTAAATAAAGAATAAAAGGCTCGAATTAAATAACCATAACGGCGCGGTTCGGTATTCACGTTGTGTGTGTGTGTGTGTGTGTGATCGAGAGGAATACAACTTGAAGTAATAGATGTGTAAAGTGATCGAGAGGATAACCAGCTCGATACTTTCTGATAATTAGAGTGCCGAGAGGAAACCAGCTCGGTGTTACTCTAATATTGAGAGGATATCCAGCTCAATGTAATAGAGGTGTAAAGATATCCAGAGGATATCCAGCTCGATGTAAAGTATTGGTGTATTGAGAGGATAACCAACTCAATGTATAGTAGTATATGTCCGAGAGGATATCCAACTCGGTTGGTATGTGTGGATGTCGAGAGGATAACCAGCTCGATGTAGAGTGTTGGTGTATTGAGAGGATAACCAACTCAATGTGTAGTATTATATGTCCGAGAGGATATCCAACTCGGTTGGTGGGTGTGGATGTCGAGAGGATAACCAGCTCGATGGAAAGTGTTGCTCTAATATTGAGAGGATGTCCAGCTCAATTTAATAGACGTGTAAAGGTATCGAGAGGATATCCAGCTCGATACTGTTATTGAGAGGATAACCAACTCAATACTATGCTATGTTCAAAGACGGCGGGGGGGGGGGGGGTACATGCAAATAAATGAATTGAATCGAGTCAAAAGCATGTAAAGTTTCAAAGACAGTTTATTTTAAAAGTACAAGTTGATGACAAAAGTTTAAGTATCGGAGCTCGGGAAAATATTTTAAGTTCCTAAAGACGAAAAACATTCTAAGTCCAAAGTTGAACAAAAATATTCTAAGTCCGAAGTTGGACGAAAATATTCTAAGTTCAAAGTTGAACGAAAATATTCCAAGTCCGATGTTGGTCAAAAATATTCTAAGTCCAAAGTTGAACGAAAATATTCTAAGTCCGAAGTTGGACGAAAATATTCTAAGTTCAACTTTGGGTGAAAATTTTCTAAGTCCCAAAAGTGGAAAATAGTTTAAGTCCCAAAGTAGTGCTAGTAGTAGGTAAGGCTAAGGAGAGGAGGAAGTCCAACCTCTTGTGAGCTCTGGGGAAGAACTGACGTTTTGGTCCAGTGCATCGAGCTCCCTCGATCTCAACTTCCCAAAATGTACAGTGGGAGAATTTCTCTAAGAGAGAGGGCAAGATCGCGTCTGCGCTCCCTATCTCTGACACAAAACGATGCGCGTACGGTTCACGCGTTTCGCTTGGACCAGAGGTAGAGTTGCGCGTCTTCTCGCGAGTTTTTCCTATATCTCAAAGAATTCTCTTAAAATAATATAAAATTACTTAGCCTTCCCTAATTACTAATTAACTAAATTTACTTAACTTCTAATTAAACCTAAAATTATAACTAAATCATAATGCACGGTATTATTAGATTATAAAATATTATATATTTAACTATATATATATATATATATATCAATTGGTCACTTCCACGACATCTAATTTTTAATGCTGTATATGATTGAAATAATGATTAGTAACATATATACAGCTTATTTTTTAAAATATAATAATTATTTTACTTTTAATTTGCAAATAAGTATGAATAGAGAAGTTCCACGACCGATCTATTTTTTGGCTGTATATAAAAAAGTTGTATGTTTTCTTAACTTTTTGGTAAATTTTCACGTGTATATTTGTACTGGTTATTAATTCTAATCATAATCAAAGACATGACATAGATAAAAGCAAAAATATAGATTAAAAAGTATGTTATGGGCACTTCCACGACATTTGTAATTTATGGTAAGATTGAAAACTTTACACTTTCGTATAAGAGTATTAATCGTGTACTTCCACGACAGATCTCTTATTTGGCTGTAAACTAAAAAAATGGTTTTTTTTATTCAATTTAATTAATATTATTTTAAAAGTACCTATATAAAAATAATTGTTTTAATTTGAAATTATTATCTTTTATTTGTGTAATTACAATATATCCACAAAGAATTAAGAAGTATGGAATTAGAACTTGCATAACATTGTAAATTTTGAACCAAATAATAGCCATACCCTCTTTTAATATTGGCAGTGGCTTTAATAAATTTAATTAACCAAAATAATATGCACATAACAATTATAAAGAATTTTTATATAAATATCAGCTTATGCGTGTAACGTGTTACTGGCACATTACTAAAAATTATTGTACATGATCCTGTACAAAATCTTGTACTAGATCTTATACAAGTTCAGATACAGGAAAATGTACACAGAATTGAATCAAGTTCTTGTATCTGAACTTGTACAAGATTTTATACAAGAAAATAAGATGGTACAGGAAAATGTACATGATCTTGTACACATTTTTCAAATACTTACAAATTTTTTGTATCTAAAGCTGCGGTTACACCTCTGCAGGCTGCCTGCCTGCGCAGGCAGGAGCAACGAGAGTAAGGGAGAAGTTTGAAGTCACTGACTCTCTTACTCTTGTACGTTACCATGACAACCTGCAGGCAGGCAGGCTGCCTGCAGAGGTGTAACCGCAGCCTAAAATGATAACAAGTTCTTGTATATGATCTCGTACATTCGTACATATTATTCACTTATGTCTATGTGAAGCAGAAAATTCAAACTTTAAAAACTGTACAGTATAGTTTTTAGCCACCTCAAGTGGAATGTCTTATTATATTGTAAGTTATTAAAAATTCAAAATTTTTCCAAATAACACAGGTCCACAAAAAAAATTCGTTTAAAGGTTCTGTCGACCAAACCTGGTGAATTTTATGTTTTTGGGGTGACTGAAAACAAATCTAAAGTCCGTTATGCTCCATCACGTCAGGATTTTTTCTAACCTCAAAATACATATCAGATTTTACGTGACAGATAAAATTCTATAACTATTGACGGATTTCCCCCAGTCTTGGTATTAAGGCTCTATTGGGATTGCTAATTATGAAATTAGAGACAAATTTTTAAAATACAAAATGGCAAATCTAATATGGCGGTCGGATTTTTAAAAAAATTTTGAATTTTTACAAAACTTGGTATCGAGGGGTTTTTGGGGTTGCTGATTTAATTTAAAGTCAGATTTTCGAAATAAAAATAAATAATCCAATATGCCTGTCGGATTTTTAAAAATTTCTTGAATTTTTACTGAATCTGACCGCCATATTAGATCCTTTATTGTTATTTCGAAAATCTGACTTAAAATTCGTAATCAGCGACCCCAAAAATCCATCGATACCAAGTTTCGTTAAAATCAAGAATTTTTTTAAAATCCGACAGTACAATTTCTTATACCAGACTATTCTATTGTACAAAATCTTGTACAAGTTTAGATACAAGAAATTCTTTTAATTCTGTGTACATTTTCTTGTATCTGAACTTGTATAAGATCTAATACAAATTCTTGTACAAGATATTGTACATGATCATGTATAAGATCTACAAGAATTTTAATCAGGGCAATTACAGAATATTTGTTTGATAGTAATAATTGTTGTCCAATGGCAGCGTCCATTTGGTTAATAATAATAATTTGGAAAATAGGAAAAAATTACTTTAAAGTTAAAAATCACAAAATTTTAAGAAAATTTACTACAGAATAATTGAATAAATAAATAATAAAGTTTGATTTTTTTATATTAATAATAAAAATTTAATTATCATAGTTTTATTTTACGAATTATTTATCGGAATTTCTATATTTTTAAACCTCTGACAATACTAAGATACTAATAATATCAATCCTGTGTTGATTATCTGTTGCCAACATTTTTACTACTTTCTTCCAATATTAATTAAATAGAATTTTAATATTGTAATAGACCCTACCAAAAAATAATTACAACACAGCAGAAAAATAATCAGAATTTCTAGTGTTTTTTAGCAGGGCACCTGAAATGGACTTTTCAAATTTCAAAACTAAAAACATTTCTGAAATGCGTTGACAAAAAAAACTAGAGTTCCACATAAATAATATTTATAAGTGTAGAATAAATAAAAATTTTATTTATTTAATTAGTTATAAACAAGTCAATCTATGATACGGACTTTTTTAAGACAAATTAAATTTCTTATTTTTTGAACACAAGCTTTTTGAGAAAATACAAAAATCTCATTATTCATAAGTTGTGTTCGTGTAAAATAACTAAAGAATAGAAATTTGTTAAAAAATGCTTCGCATTCATATATTTTTAAGCCAAGATATCAGATTTGATTCATTTACATAGAAACAAACCAATATCTGATAAATCGTATTTTTTCAGTTTTGTTTATTTTTTTTAAACAATGATTAATTAATAAATCCGTAATAATGCAAATTTAAAAGATAAAGTCGTCGGGTTAGCGCAATATCGTACTTATTCGACAAAGAAGGCAAGAACGTGCTTTTTCAAAATATAATGTAAAAACAAACGAATTGGCAAATTAACATTTTCAGTCAAGCAATTGTACAAAAGTACAATTTGAAATTTGACATAAAAG